GACGAGGAGCCGGCCTGGTGGACGAAGGCCGACCTCTCATCCACGGTGGCGGCTCCCGGGACCTCCGAAGCCTTCTTCTTCTTTGGAGACGGCGGGAAATTGCCCGCCATCTCGGCATCGCCAACAGCTGGTTCCTCCGGCTCCTCTGGCTCCTCTACAAGGATCCGGCGCTTCCTCTGACGAGCGGGCCCGCCCTGATTGGCCACACTGCGGCCATGACTAGCGCCGGTCTCAGGGGCATTGGACCGGCCCCTCCTCCCGCCAGCGGGAACGGGTGCGGGAACATCCGGGGCCGGGCTGGCAGCCACGGCGGCCTCCCGGGAAGTCGTGGTTTTAGCGGCCGGTTTCGGCGGGGCCGGGTCCGAGGTGCCCGCCGAACTCGACGCCGAAGTCTTCTTCTTCGACTGTCTGGTAAGGAAGTCCATGCGGCTGGCCATCTTCCGGTCTTTTAGAGAGCTCGGGTGTGCGCGCGCGTATTTGTTAGCTTCCTTCACCGAGCCGAATCCGCACTCGCGATGGAGAGGGTAGTACACTGTCAGACATTAACAAAATGCAAGAGTGAGAACAGAATGTTAGGGCACCTAAACACATGAACGAGAAACTGAGGATAGAGAAGTACCGGGCTCGAAGTGTTTGCTGTTGTATTCCGGACAGAGATTGTGCTCGATCAAGTTCTCTTCCGCGACAAGACTTCGGTAGTTACGCTTGTCCGCAGAAAGTCCGAGCAGGGTTTCGACCTTTGCGACCAGCTCGTCACTTGGCTCAATATGGGGGTTGTGGACTGAAATGTAAACACCGACCTGTTAGCAGACAAGGACAGTTAATTAGAAGAGCGGAAGTGAACGGAAGTAAAATAACTCACAAGGGCCAGATATGAAATCGGTCGACGGGTGCCGAGTTGTGTTGGGCGTCCTCCATTCGCCGCCGACCCAAAACCACTCCGGCATGTAGCCGTGCAGCGACTCCGGGATCTTGTTAATCAAGGACTTTTCTACACCGGGAGCTACCGAGCTGTAGTAATTGCCGGACTCTCCAGACTTCTTGAAATCGAAGAGGGCCCTCACCTCGTCGCAAGTGGGATCAGCCCAGCCCTGCTGGCGGAAGAGGACTATGAGGCCGACCAGCCAGGCAAAGACTGTCGGGACGAGCTGGCTAATACCGATGCCAATCCCACTAAGTATGTCGCTCAAAGCCCCGGGCAGCGGAAATCGGAGGCCGAGCAAGATGCTCGACCGATAAACGCCGACACAACCCGGCGGCGGACAGTGTATTCGCTCGCCTGCATAAGGGGCGAAAATTCTCACCCCGGCGCCAAAGCTGGCCCTGCCCCTCAGTTTGGCCAAATCAAGATCCGTCAGCACCGAGGGGGTCGTCCATGCGGTAGCCGAGGCGGTAGAAGGCCACACCCGCGGAGGGCGGCACCAACACCCCAGAGGAGCCGTGGTGGCGGCTTCGACGGCGGCGTCAGTGTCGACATCCTCGCGCGCCATGGGGACACGTTCTCGTCCGTAGGTGTTGCCTCGGAGCGTCTCTTCCACCAACTCGGCGTCTACATCCGATTCGGCGGGAGAGGCGGGGTCGGACTTCTTCTCGCCCTCCTCGGCGTCGGACTGGCCCGACCCGAGGTCGATGATCTCGATCGTGGGGAAATCCGAGGGCTCCCCACGACGCGCGTCTGTTGCCGCCGCCGCCGACGTCACGCGGACGGCGGAAATCGGGGTCACTCTGAGCGGTTGCATCGCCCCGGTCGTCGGCGGGGAATAAACGACCAACTCCCCGGTCTCCTCCGCCGTGAAACCGCCATCTCCAGCGGGGAGGTTCGCAGCACAGTCGGACAAATTCGACATAATCGAAAGAAAGTGAAGAAAGAGTTTCAGATAAACGGAATTACCGGTTTGGAGATCCCCGAAAAACTCGAAAAATCCTGAAAGTCGCTCTGAAATCTTGCTCGGGAATTCTGCTGCTCAGAAGACTTAGGTCGCTTGAAAACTCTGGAAGCTCGTAAAAGCTTCTCCAGGAAGACGACGGAAATATATATACGAATCGAGAGCCAATCACGGTGCGACACGTGGCGTAACATTCAAAATTCGAAATCAATGACATGATCTAACGGTTGGGAACGAAACGATCCGACGGTTTATGAACGGCCGCGTGAGGACCACGCGCCCCAAAAGTCACCGCTTCGACGAAGCGACGCGACGTTCGGAGACCGCCAATAAATGGGCGACACGTGTAAAGGCTCTGAACCGGCACGCCTTTTCGTAACCGACAGGAAGCACAACGGTCACAACGCATTAAATGGGACGTCAATTCAGATCAGAAGATAACGGGCAAATTGTGGTTGTGATTTGCTCAAAGTCCAAGTCATGTGCCGATCCCAAATGTATTCTGAGGATGACGGCCTCACAGAGGATGCCAAAGCGCACCCTCTCCGAGCCCGGGGGCCTGTATGTTGACATCCGAGTTCGCCCATGAGACTGAACCGGACCACTCAATTCCGAGAGCCGAACCAGAGACCCGGTCCGCCCGTAAAGTGCCGAGCTGGACCGGAAAACCTTTTGACCCTGGCATCGCCGTGAGACCATTCGTCAGTTCGGTATTTTCAACTAGGACGCCACGGGCGCCGGGCTGAGAAATGACGGACTGAAAGAAAGATTCCCCAGGACCAGGAGAGCAGATGAAAGCAAGATGCCGAGGTGCCGACTTGGGGTCCCAGAGCGGGTCACTACGACGGAGAATGCCGGTCTCTATAATGGTATAATAATGCCACTTGGAGGGCAATCATTGGCTAAATGGATGGGACATCATAGCCTGCAGACCTACTCCTCTTAGCTAAGACATAAAGCCTGTCAGCATTAAATGCCTGCCACCTAATGATGAGGAAAACCTCAAATCGCATTTAATGCTGTCAGAGAAGCGCCGGACTGTCCCGCAGGAACACTGTACGACAAGACTGATGAACAGTATCTGAACAGTGCCACATTAAAGGCTACTATAAATAGCAATCCTTCTCATTTATTTTGGGTGGTTGAACTTCAACTGTAATAGCTATCTCTCTCTACTTTCTCTCTCTAAAAATCGTGTGATTGATCTGTAACAATTTGTAAGGATATTGCAAGTGCCGACCTCGTACGAGAGGCCGACCTAGCGATCTGTTAATAAAACCGCAATTAAACCGCATTTCCTTGTCTCTACGTCATTTCTTTTTTATTATTTATCTTTTTAACCGTTGACCGGAAACGCCCGTCAACAACTTTTTATTGTTATATATTATTAAAAATATATTACTTTTTATATATGAAAGAAGAATATATTATTGTTTATATATAATTTAAAAATATATTATTTTATTTTTATATATTAAAAATATATTATTTTTTATATTATTAAAAAATATTATTTTATTTTTATATATTATTAAAAATATATTATTTTTTATATTATTAAAAAAATTATTTTTTTATTTTTATTTTTAAATTATATGTAAAAAATAATATATTCTTAAAAGTAATACTCCCTCCTATTCATAATAAGTGTCGTTTTGAAAAGTTGCACACTAATTAAGAATATTTTTTTTGTCAATAATAACCTTCATTAATTAAGATAGAGATGAATGTTTTGAGAAAAGATGAAGAGTGAATATGAAAAGACGTAGTGTATTTATTAGCTAAATGGAGGTAATAATGGAAAAACATGTACAAAAAATTCAAAATGACATTTATTTTGTTAATTGTTGATAAAGCCAAAATGACATTTAAAAAGAATAGGAGGTAGTTTATTTTTATTTCATTTTTATATTTTATTAAAAATATATTATTTTTTATATTATTAAAAAATATATTATTTTATTTTTATATATTTATAAAAAGCATTTTATATGTAATTTATTAAAAGTATATTATTTTTTAAAAAAACTTTTATTTATTTTTTTAATAAAAAATGATAATGTCATTTCATTTAAGTCCTATTACTTCTGCATACCAAACGCATCAATGACAAAACTTGTTTCATTCCATTCCCATAATCATTCTATTCTTCAATTCATTCCATTCCTACGAAATTTCAATCCATTATACCAATCATGCCATTAGGGTTTAGTTTCAAGACATCATCAACTTAAATTACTAAGTGGCTTTATTTAATGCAACATTCATCATATTAAGCACAAACAAAAAATATTAAATAAATCTAACATGCATCTTATGTAGAAAGCGATGGGATGATCATGGCCAAACTTATGCGACCCATTCGAGCCAAAAATGGGTCAAGGTCAATCTAAGGAATAAAATAAATAGAACTACTTCTATTGCATATTTTTCGATTAACCTATACAAGCATGTGACTTCAACTTCTATTTTATTATATGTACCAAAAAAAAAAAAAAAAAATTTTATTATAACTTGTAAAAATTACCCACATAAGCATGGGCCTTTTGCATCGGACGACCTCCAATCGAAATTAGAAATCCTCACGACCTAATCTACTCTCGATGCAATAATTTAAAACTTTTACAAATTATAGAATAAGAGGCTCGCAGATCACGACAAAGAAAAAGAAAAAGAAAAAAATAAACATACATCCAATCCAATTACATTTGTTAAAAGACTCATGATCATCCATAAATAAAACATGCTAAAAGATTCATCACATGAATTAAAGCATATAAATTTACTAATTTTGTATGTTGATTTAATTTGAGATTAAATTAATTTTAACTATTCATAATAGTTATTTCTAATTTTGAGTAACTTTTAAACATCTCTCCAAGGAATCTCATTCCCTGTAAAAATGTGTAATTCAAAAAGAAAAAGGGTTGCCAAGTTTTTTTTTAAAAAAAAAAGTATTTGCAGTCACCTTCCGCCACTTTATAAAACACTAGTGATCAACCCGTGCATTTGCAAGAAAGACGAAATATTAGAAGAGTAAACAATACAAAAATATAAACAAAAAAATCATAATTTACTCCATGAAAAGTTAAGAATTAAGAAAATAGTTTTAAATATTATTAAAAAACCTCTTTATATACAACGTTTATGGTTTTTCTATCATCAATATTTCTATCACCACAAATCATTATTTTCATACTCTTTCGATTCGTGACTGAAAAGAGTCACGTACAACTGCGCATGACTAAACACATAGTTCTTTCATACTAATCTCACGCGTGATAGAGACTAACACTGACTCTTATTGATTGTCATAGCATACGGACAATGACATGAAACTACTTGCGCTGAAACTTGAACGATACGCTCAAATCGGAAGGTATGATTGTGAGCCTAGTAAAGGTAAATAATAAACTATTTCTAGGCTCACAATCATACCTTTCTATACACAGCAGTACCAGCTCGCAACAAGAAGATTCATTACTACTTCATCCATCAAAAAAAAAAAAAACATGCAACTTCAGCAATTTGTATAATCCATAATCAGAAAAACCTAGCATCCTGCACCATATCCTAACCCAATTAAAATTTCTTATACATTTGGCTGATTTTCAATTTCCCCGAGCAGGTGGGGCACTACCAAACTTCAATATATAAGCGGTTTCATAAGCAGGCCGTAATGGGTGTATGACTTGGGCATCAAGGTAAGCATCACACGAGAAGCACCACACCGAAAGATCACTATTTCAAGTAAAACAAAACAAACAAAAGTAAAGAACCCATAAAAAAAGTAAGCAAAACAAGGAATTAAAAAAGCAGTCGGCATCTAAAGAAAAAGCCACCTGAAACTCAAGGCCAAGTTGTGTTGTTTCTGTTGATAATGCTCTAACATGTGCTTGTTCACAAACCGGCTGCACAAAACGTCTTTGCAACACAGGCAAAGCCAGTTCTCATCTGGATGCTGACAACTTCACAGTTTTTGTTATGGTTAATGGTTAGCCCAATTTATTTTACTTGCCAATGTATGCATAAAAACTGTGAAGTAGCTTAAACAAATGGATGAATTTTGCTCTCAACTCATAGGGATTACACAATGCCAACGCAATTTATTTAATCAATTTTCTGGAGATTCAACAATTTATCTAATTTTCTTTTATTAACACAAATATCCACTTAGCTATGGGCTCCAGCAGGCTATTTCCTATGAAATTCAATAAAACGCAGTGCAAAACATAAAAGACAAAAAACAGATACAGAAAATATATAAGCCGGATAAAATATCAATACAACAACTAACAATTGATTGAAAAAAACAACTAGAAATTGTTTTGGATTTAGGGATTAAGAGGGAGGGGTAAACTCAAAAGAGGAAAGACATTGAACAATACTCAACTCGATTGAATTATTCAATAATCGCAAAACATACTACCAGATTGAGAAATTAAAACTCAAGGGGTCTCATGAAATCAGCTAAAAAGTGCGCGTTTCGAATGAGGAATTAAAGGGGGGATGGGTTTAGGGTTTAAGAAATTAAGATGGAGGACCTGTTGCAAGGGGTATCTGGTGTCGGAATGTGAATCAGATCGGACGATAACGAACCGAGATGATCGCAGTGTGTTCGGGCCTCGACCCAGCCCGATTCCGACCCTTCGAAGACTAGATCATCGTCCTCTCCGATTATTTGGAGCGTCGAGGACGAAGAAGCGTGTCCCGCCATTGATGACCTGTTAAATTCTTGAAATGCCAAGATAATTGCTGCGACCAACTATTAAGTATTAACACACTTTTCAGGGGAAGAGAGACCGTTCGTGGGATTTCACGACTCTTGAATTGCAAAGATAATTGTTGTATTAAGTTACTAGTACAGTACCCGTGCGATGCACGGGGCTTTATTATTTTCGTCCTTTTTAAAAGGCAATTTTATATTTAAATTTAAATAATATAATAAAGCACCGATCATTGATTATAATTAAACCTAACAAATACTTATTATATGATACGTGTAATTATTTATATTAATCATGTTGGGCTTGTACGATAGGAATGTTTTTGAAAAATATGAGTTTCAAAAAGTTCATATCGGTCCAATTTACAATGTTGGCTTCGAAAGTTCATATCGGCCCAAACAAAACGGAAAAAATAATTCAATGATCCAGATTAGTCAACGCAAATCGACGGTTTATATTACACTGAACATAGTATAAGTAGTGAAATTATCGGACCAAGGGCTTCATTTCTTCCTTCATTTTTCGCTCCTTCCAGTTTCTTTTTTCGTCTGTTTTCATCGATCTTCTTCCAGCTTTCTGTTCTAACACTGAGGATCTTATAAATACATATTCTTTTTTAGTTTTCATTTAATCGATGCTTTAAACTAGTTTTAGGTGCTTTGCACGAAACAAAATATGGATTGTTCAATTTGAGTGTTTTTATTTTCGATTTTTGTAGTTTTATGTTCGATTTTTTTTGTGTTTACAACTAATCAAAAGAATCCTTCGAATCTGAGTGTGCGTCGATAGATTTTGTTAATTTTAGTTGTTTTGCCCGAAAAAGAAATGTGAGTTTTTAATTTTAGGGTTTTTATGTTCGATTTTTGTACTTTTATGTTCGGACTTTTTGGGTGTTTACGATTAGTCAAAAAAACTCTTAGAATTTGAGTGTGTGTCGGTAGATTTGTTATTTTTTTGATCGTCAAAATTATGTTGTTACACATAAATTTTTGGCGTCCAAATGATTTTTTTCTTTTAAAACTCAACTCGGCTATACAAATCTGACAATTAATTATGAGTTATCATTGATTTTGATGAATTGCACACAATTATTATGGGAAAAGAACTTGCAAGTTTTTTTTGCCCAAATAATGAATGTTGATATCAATTAATTTTAAAAAGAATTGGTATTGAAATAAAACTCAAATTTTTAAAAGCATTATTTCTACCAAAATTGAGCAATTTGGTTATCAAAACTAACTATCCGTGATTGAAGGCATATTTAGATGTTTCTCATTTAATAAATAAAAAATAAAAATAAAACTTGCCCGAAATGATATGCAATTAATGTTGACAGATTTTTTGCTTACTATTTTTAGTAAATAGTAATTCTTATTATATATACTACTATGTAACCCGTGCGATGCATGAGATGTAAAATTTGGAAGAATAATATAACCTCACGTGCATTAGGATCGAAATTGAAATCATTAAAATACATAGGAACATTGTTGAATCATAAAAAGTTCGGTAACAATCATATATTATTAAAAACCTCCTTGTACACAACATTATGAGTTTGATTATTTGGTAACTCCTCATTATCACAAACTAATATTTTCAAAAGAGACAAATCCTAAAAATCAAACTAATATTTTTGGTGAACAAACTAATATTTTAGGATTGGTGAACAAACTAATATTTTAGGATTTCTAGGATTTGTCTCTTTTTGGTGAACAAACTAATATTTTAGGATTGGTTATATGAATAAGGCTACCTGTTTCTGGTGTTCTTTTCATTCATTTTCATTCAAACAATCCGATGACTTGTATAATGAAATCCAAATCTTAAGCCAAAATATTTAAAAAAAGAGTTTTTAAAAATTGAAAAGTTAAGACAATCAATTCAGATTAATTAAAGGTCAAAGAATATCCGCTCCTTGAAATAAAGACGTGTGCTATCATTAACCAAATATCCGGTTATTGATATAGAGTGGTTACCAAAAAATAGAACGCGATAAGGACGCTTCATGGAAATATCAATGAGATAAGGTCATAATAGATTGCTATACATTTTAACGATAAAAGCTCAGATGGAATGATTTATGATAATTATGTTATAATTATTAATGAGAAGTGTGAAAAGGACAAAAACTTACCAGTTTTGGAAAATACTTAATGCAAATCCGACATTGACCATAATTTGACCTGCTATTTTGGATAAATGTTAATTCTTATTATATAAGTATAGATTAACACACTTTTACACCGTTCGTGGGCTTTCACGACTCTTGAATTGTCAGGATAATTCCTACATAATAATAATAATAAATAGATAGGATAAGATAATTAATAAAATACGATATTTGACAAAGTACTAAATAAACTATGTGGTAAAGAAAAAAAGATGAGAGATAGACTAAAAAAATTGATAAAGTACGAAATATTTATGTGACAACTATGCGAAAGAGAGGTGAAGAAAATTGATAAAGTGCGAAACTTTTACACGATAAACTAACAGAAAAGTCAAGATTCGATAAATTGTGAAATATTTATCTCATAAACTACGAGAGAGACCGTTCAAGGTTATAAAGTGCGAAAAAAATTATGTGATAAACAATGTGATAGATAGACGAGGAAAACTGAAAAAGTGCGAACCTGATTATGTGATAAAGAATGCGACGGAAATGCGAATATAATTAAAAAAGTGTGAAATTAATCTACATCTATATTTATATATGTATAATTGTAGGCTATTAAGTTAATACAAATCATAAAAAATTTTCGCTCATTTTTTTCAATTAATGTAGAAGAAAACCATTTCATTTTACCTTAATCAAGTGTATCAATAAATATAAACTAATTTATTATAATAGTTATTACTAATACTAACTAATTATAAATTTACATAAAAAATTATGTGAAAGTTGCATATTTATAAAAAGTTCTATTGCAAATTTTTTGTCTAAGCTATTTATGTTCAATAAATATTATGTTTTAGTCTTATTAAAGGATTTTTCTCTAATACTAATTAGTTAATTGATTTGAGTGACATAATTAAACTCCTTAAAATTACATAAACAGTACTATAATAATATTAAAAATAATTGTAATACTTCTTTAACTAATTAATTGGACGGTCTCTCTAAATTACAAAGTTACATTATCCATTACATTTTGCATAATCAATATAACGATTCATATGGATAATTATACATATAGTCAAATTTTAAAATATAATACACACCTTATTTAATTTATAATTTTAAGTATTATATACATACATAGAAAGTATAAATTTTTATTTACCTTTGTGCATATGCACATGATCGAATACTAATTATGTGATAAACAAGACAAGGCAACAGACAGGCGACTATAATTGATAAAGTGCAAAATATTTATGCGACAACTATGCGACAGACAGGTCAAGATAATCGATAAAATTGTGGATTTTTATGCGATAAACTACGCGACAGACAGGTCAAGATAATCGATAAAGTGTGAATGAAATTATGTGATGAACAATGCAACAGAAAGGCGAATATAATTGATAAAGTGACAGACATGCGAAGATTATTGATAAAATGTAAAATATTTTTGCGACAACTATGCGAAAGAGAGGCGAAGAGAGTTGATAAAGTGCGAAATAGTTATGCGATAAATTACGCAGTAGACAGGTCCAGATAATCGATAAAGCGAAAGAAATTATGTGATCAACAATGCAACAAGCAAATGAGGAAAAATGATAAAGTGCCAACCAAATTATGCGATAAACTATGCAACAGACAAACAAATGTAATTGATAAAGTGCTAAACAAATTATGTGATAAACAAAACAATGCAAAACAAATGCGAGGAACATTGATAAAGTGTGAAATATTTATGCGACAACTATGTGAAAAAGAGGCGAAGACAATTGATAAAGTGCGAAACATTTATGCAATAAACTGCGCGACAAACAGGTCAAGATAATCAATAAAGTGCAAAATAAATTATGTGACAAACAAACTTATGTGATAATTTTGCACAATTTAAATTTCATAGAACATTTTCAATACATTAATAAAGGTAAATTGTATTACATATTAATTCTATATTTTTAATTTATAAATATTATTTAATAAGAACTTTTAATTTATAAATATTAATGAATATGCATGGGATTCATACTAGTTGTTGTTGTATGGAAATTAACAACTCAAATTAACGAACAACAAGGTGTGTATTACATGAAACAAAAAAAAAATAAAATGTGTATTTTATTGATATATTCACAAGAGTACAGGAAGTCGGTTTCTTGTTCATAACCGAGATGTCTTACAGTCCGTGTACAATGTGTCGAAAAAGATCCCCGTACAATAATAAATTCTGCTACTTATAGTACAGCTATTTTTGTCTTTTAGTCCGAGGTAGATGAGATAAATACTGAGCAGCTTCAATAAAGCGGTGTGTAATGTAATGAGGGAACATCAATGATTATTCTTTGACTTGATGATCCAATAGAAGATGTACAGCGTCTCTTGCTTAAGAATTTGGTCTCCTCGGATGTCGGTTGAAAGGATAATCTTCATAGTAAGTAATTTTGTCGTTTGGCGAAGTCGGTCTGTAAGCTTCTATAGTTTAGTCGGTTTGGAGTGTAATCGGTTTAGCTTGTGCTATGAGGAAGTCGGTATCTTTTCGACTGTTATCGACTTAGGCTAAGTTTAGTCTTTTTCAAAAGATCAATGAATAATATGATTAGTTCTCAACTAATCATGTACAACCAAGTCGGTTATCAACAGAGAGGCCCACGACATTAGCTGGTAATTTGTACTTTACAAGATGGCCACTGATGTCGCTAATATTTTCAGTAATTTCCGACTTGGTAGTTTGCCGACTTCTTTGTATTTGATAACCGACATGAGAACACTTGGTATTTGCCATAGATTTTTTCTGATGGTTATGTAACGGCTTGGCTAACGTGGCGATTCTTAAAAGTCGTGTCTGTATTTAATGGGTCCAACGGGCAGAATAATGGGATGACGGGGCGTTTCAAGGTTGATCCACGTGTATTAATGATTATTGTAACGTTGCGCCGTTTATGGACACGTCCGTTACATACGCCGATTCAGG